TACATAATAGTTTAAGATTTAGTTATACAAACTAATATGAATATTATTATTTTTTATTTTAATAAATTTTAATTAAAATACTTATTATCTCTTATATTTGTTATGAGATAAAATGATTGTGAAATTGTATTTTGTATTAACGTGTAAGAAGTATTTATACAGAATATACTAATAGCTGTAATGAAAGTTGTTATAATTGAAGTAAAACAAAAGATAACAAAAATACTTGACTTATACAAATATTACAATCTAATACTCTCCCTTAAGTCAAGTATTTAACGGATACAACTCCAACTTTCTTCCTTAGTTCTTCAAACCTCTCAATCTTTAATACTTTAGTGAACATATGTGTCAATTGCAATTCTATTCTATAGTATTTCACGGTAATCTTTCCCTTATTCACTATATCCCTTAGGAAATGATATTTCACTTCTATAAGTTTACTTCTACCATGACTCAGGATTTATGGATAAATTTATGGCAGAAATATTGTTAATTTTTAGCTCAAAAGGTGTCTTTGTAGAGACCTTCAACTCCTTCAACAATTCATTAAACAAACCCCTTGGCACGCAACATAACTTCCAACTATATACTCAGCCTCACAGCTAGACAAAGCTACATTGACAACTTTCACTACAAAAAAAACGCTTATTATCTACGGGTAAAATCCGTAGGTAATGTCACTTTACCTACGGATTTCTTTCCGTAGAAAATCCGTAGGTAATTTGGTCGTAGGTAATTACCTACGGATTTATAATCCGTAGGTAATGCACTCGCTGTAATTACCTACGGATTTATAATCCAAGCACTCGAAGTTGGAGGTCGATACTCCAACCACTAAGCTATTAGGTTATTTTGAAAATAATTTACAAATAAATTATATTTATATTTATCCGTGTAAATATATAAATATAAAATATATATAAATATAAAATATATATAAATATAAAATATATATAAATATAAAATATATAAATATAAAATATATATAAATATAAAATATATATAAATATAAAATATATTTATATTTTGATATATTTATATATTTATACATTTATATATTTGTATTTATATATTTATATATTTATATTTATATATTTATGTATTTATATATTTATATATTTATATATTTATGTATTTATATATTTATGTATTTATATATTTATATATTTATATATTTATGTATTTATATATTTATGTATTTATATATTTATGTATTTATGTATTTATATATTTATGTATTTATATATTTATGTATTTATGTATTTATGTATTTATGTATTTATGTATTTATGTATTTATGTATTTATGTATTTATATATTTATGTATTTATATATTTATATATTTAATATTTTATATTTATATATTTACACGAATTAATATAAGTATAATTTAGTTGTAAATTATTATTAGAATATCCTAATAGTTTAGTGGTTGAAGTATCAGTTTTCAATTTTAAGGTACTGGGTTCGATTCTTGCTAGTGACAATTTTTCTAGTTTAATATAATTTATGTACGGATAGTAATTCCGTAGGTAATTACCCACGAATGATATTACCTACGGAAAATATCCGTAGGTAATGGATAATTACTCACAGATAGAATTCCGTAGGTAATATCCGTAGGTAATGTACACTTTACCTACGGATAGTAATTACGTAGGTAATTACCTACGGAATTATCCACGGATTACATTACCTACAGATAATATCCGTAGGTAATGGATAATTACCTATGGATAGAATTCCGTAGGTAATATCCGTAGGTAATGTACAATTTACCTACGAATTTTCATCCGTGGGTAATATCCGTAGGTAATGGATAATTACCTACGGATAGAATTCCGTAGGTAATATCCGTAGGTAATGTACAATTTACCTACGGATTTTCATCCGTGGGTAATATCCGTAGGTAATGTAAAATTTACCTACGGATTTGTATCCGTAGGTAATATTCCGTAGGTAATAGGCTTTTTTTTTGTAGTGTTTTTAGAGCACCATGAAACAGGAGCATTGTTCAGCAAAAATATATAGCCATAAGTGCTCTTCCTCTTTATCAAATCACCACCGTAGTCTGAGTCAGCATAACCAGATAACTCCAATTCTGGTTTCTGTTTTCCAAAAGGAAATAGTATTTCATAGTTTGTTGTGCCTTGAATGTATCTCAACAATCTCTTGGCAGCTCGCATGTGTGACTTCTGGTTTCTGTTTTCCAAACGGTTGTATTTCATAGTTTGCTGTGTCTTAAATGTATCTCAACAATCTCTTGGCAGCTAGCATGTGTGACTTCTAGTTTCTGTTTTCCAACAGAAAATAGTATTTCATAGTTTGTTGTGTCTTGAATGTATCTCAATAATCTCTTGGCAGCTAGCATGCGTGACCTCTTCGGACTGCTCATGAACCTACTTTGTGTTTCTTCCACCATTCCTGTCCACCAGTCGCATCTCATGTGTCTCCAAGGAGCTCTGAAGTTCCTCGATCTTTATTTGTGATAAGTCTTTTGATTCTTAAATTGCTACAACAATAAAATTAAATTTATGCGGCAATGATCTCATGATCTTTTCAATAACCATCAGATCAGAGATTGTCTCTCCACAACCCTTCATTTGATTGGTTATCGTGAATACCTTATTGACGTATTCACTTATTTTATCTCCATCTTCCATTTGCAGTAGCTCATACTGCCTCCTTAGGGTTTGAAGTTTTACTTTCTTGATCGTATCTCCTTCGGTGTGACTTCTAATAAGAATGTCCCAGGCTTTCTGCGCACTGTTCGCATTTTGAATCTTCTCAAAATGAACGTCATCAAAATAAGAAACAACGCCTTGCTATCCTTCTTCGCTAATATCGCCTTTTGCGCCTCTGCCGAACCGGAAGCAACCACCTGGCCTGTTTCAACTACATTATTAACATCCTGAAATCTTAACAAAACCTTCATCTGGTACTTCGTCTATCCCAATTTTTCTCATTCAAAATTGGGAGATTTGATGAGGGAATGTGATTGTCACCTCCGACCATTCTTCTTCCTTTAATACACGATCAAGAAACTGAATCTTGATTGACACTGATTCAAGCACCTTGAATCACTTTTGCAATCGTAACTACCTAGGCGCCAACTCCTGAAATAAAACCGAGGCTCTGATGCCACTTCTATTAGAACAAACACAAGAGAAATGAGATAAAATGATTGTGGAATTATACTTTGTATTAACATGTAAGAAGTCTTTACATAGAGTATACTAACAGGTGTAATGAGAGGATGTTATAATGGAAGTTAAAATGAAGAATAACAAAAATACTTCACTTGTATAAATATTGGAATCTAATAATATCTCTATAATAAATATAATTAATAAAAGAATAATTAATACCATCTTAAATCTTATAAACTTTGTATATTAAAAAAAAAACTAAAATCATGTATTTTAAAATATTTTTATATAAAATCATATATTTTATAATCAATTCTATTAATTATATTTTTTAAAAATTATTTAAATAAATGAGATATTTCTCTCTCATTAAAAGTTTTTTTTTCACCTTAATAAATGAGTTTTCACTTTTTCATCTTTTATTTTTTTTAATTAAAAATATTAAATTAAAGTTCTATAAAAATAGATTAAAGTAAATTTTTAAAATATCTATTAAAATGAAAAAAATATCAATTAATTATTTAAAATTATGATGATAGTAAATAATTTTATTTATAATGATAATAAATAATTAATTTAAAATTACTTTATCACAACAAATCAATTATTAATTTAATTAAAAATATTAAATATTTATAATTTACTTTTTTATTTAATAATTTAATCTATTTAGTTCAATTAGGATGAATAATCAAATTAAATAATTTAAAAAATATTTATTTAAAAAATTAGTTAAAAATAAATATATTTTTTTCAATATCTATAACATTACAATAATATAAGTAATAACTTAAAATTTATTATATAATATTTTTTAAATACAATATATTTAATTGTAATATTTTTATTTTTTTATAAATAATTAAAACGTTATTTTATTAAATTTTTAATAATATTTTAAAATATAATATATTTAATTATAATATTTTTTTTTATAAATAAGAATTTTTTTATTAAATTTGAATATAAAATTTGTAGTTAGAAGAATAAAATAAATGAAAAAAAAAACATTAACAAAAATTTCATTTAAATAATTTTTAAAATATACTATTTATAAAATTATTCTATATTTTAAAAAAGTGAGAATAATAAGTTATTTTTACCGTCTAAAATAACTGTAATCTTAATTTTTAATTACAGATGTTTCGAATTTTCGATAAAATAATATTTTATTTTAAAATACATTATTTTAATGTTCAGTAGTAAAGAAATTTAATAAAAAACTGAATTACCTTTTTTAAATCTTATTATTTATTTATTTATTTATTGATAAAAAGTCCAATGAAATTCTATTTATCGATCATAAATAATATCATTAATTTTATAAAATATGACTATGTAACTTTTATATATTATGCTATGGGAGTTTTATAAACTAAATAAATTGGTTAATAATTTGACTGTTAATGGAATAAAAGTGGCCACCTCATGCTTTTGAAAATTAAAAAACTTATTGTAAATGAGAACAATTTAAATAATGAGAATAAATAATGAGATTAAGAAGCTAATTAAATCTTAATAAAATTGTTTAAGAATTAATATTTTTATCATTATCATAGTATATGATAACACACCTGAGAAATCTCCCAAAGAATAAATAGAGTGTGCACTAGAATCTAACACAGAAAGAACAAGAAACAGAAACATGGCAGAGAATCGATAAGGTTTATAATTGTAAAAGGAAAAAGAGACACAACCTCCAAACAAAAAACCAAATCTACTTTGTTTATTTGTTCACCTCTCATGTATGACAAGGATAGAAGTAGATACTAGACATAGCTAGAAAGATAAAACCACACAACAAAAGCAGAATCAGCATGATTTGATGGATATGAGGTGTTGGTGCCCTCAGTTGCCTTTGTGATTCAACAGCAGCTTTCGGAGCTCCACCGGGTCAATCTCATCTCTGTGATTGATGGGCCTGTAGTAGCCCGTAACTGGGTCTGGGGCCCAAGCCGATGAGGCCCCCGATGGGCCGGAACCATTCTTGGCCACACCCATCTCTATTCCGCTCATACCCCCTCTCACCGAAGATGATGAAGAAGAAGAGACATTCGATGCGACTGCGTACCCTCGCCGGTTAAGGGCGAAGGAAAGGGCGCGTTTGGCTTGTGAGAGAGATTGTGCCATCTGAATCGGGGTTTGCTGCTGCTGCGAAAGGCTTTGGGCACAGAAGGCTTCCGCAGCAGCTACCACCTCTCAACTCTCGGTGTGTATGTGTGAGGAGGCGCACCGTACGTTAGGGTTTGTGAACCACTTCTTTATATACCACTTTGTTGGTTTGATTATATTTTAAAATATTAAATATTTAATAATAGATTCTACGTTCAAATTTATTTACAACAAAATAAAAAATCAGCTTTATACACATGTTAAATCGTAGAGATGTGACGTGTGTGTTCTGGAAAGTAACGGCGGAACGCGGAAACGAACATTCACTGAATTAAGGAACGGCGGCTGCCAAATCACGTTTTTACGTTAATAGATGTTTTAATCAGACAAATCAGACTTTTAATCTCTCTATTCTTTTTATTTAACTATTCATTAAAATGTACTGTTTTTTCTCTGTATTTTCTTCTTCTTCTTTTTTCTTTAGTTTTTTTTTTTATCTTTCATCAATTGTATTTTTTTCTTTTAAAAATTTATAAAATAGCTCGTTAAAATATGAATATGATAATATTATAATATATAAATTAATATAATTTTTACTTTTTAAAATTAATTTTATATAATTAAATTAAATATCTTTTAAATATTAATTAATAATTATGAACTAAATCATTTATTACTGGACTCATAATAATCACTCATTAGTGTTGAAAAATTCTACTAAAATTTTCCCTGATTTTTATAATATTAAATTAAACATCTTTTTTTCTTACTAGATTAATATTATTATACTCAAGGATGTCATTTATATATTTATATATCCAAATGACAAATTTTGAGGTAGTAGAACATAGAAACGAAAAATAAGCAGAAACTACAATGAGACATGGCATGACTTTATTTAATTATAACTATTTAAATGTCACGCGATACATTTAACTTCCTTGTAGTTTGTGATGGTTAATTTGATAAGTATCAAGTGGAGGGCATGTAATGAAATCCCGATGGAACGATGTTAACAACAGTTTGAGAGGCAAGACGATCGACCCCAACAAAGTTTAGGGTTGAAATGAGAGCCCCAGAAGAAGGAAGGTTTGTGTTGCAGTGGGAGAGAGGGGTGGGAACCCGTAAGTTGCAGGTATTGAGCAGTGAAGAAAGATCCAACAGCAAGGGATCCATCATGATAGAAAAGCTTCCATCATCATCAGTTGTAGCATTTGAAAACTCCTTTCCTCCACAAACTAGTTGTACTTTAGCATCTGAAATAATATTTTATTCGTCTTTTCACTATGAGTTCCAAAGAATGTTCATTCTATCATGCATGTATATATAATATATATGTCTCTTTCAAGTTAACTTGAGTAGGATGGTTAAACTTCTTACATGCATGTTTATATAATAAATTATTAAAATAGTTTATAACTCAGATACTGTTGAACTTTTCACAATATTTCCCACAAAAAGAAGACATTACTAAGGATTTAAAAAGTCAGAATTTTGCAAATATAAATCAATTGATGGTGAGCTTACTTGGAAAACCAGGGATTGATGCACCTTTGACAGCCACATTATCATTGGAACTGCAAAACACAGTCCCTCGAACCTTACTAACAGAACCAAGGAGACCACTGAGAAACCCTAGCTGAGCTTTGGTTTGTGGAATAGTCATTGCAGAAATTAGAAGAAATGTGATAAAACGTTGGAAGCTCATAATGATGGGTCTTATTAGATAGGGTAATCTTAACTTGTGTTGCTTGGAACAAGTTACAAGTGTGGATAAACAATTTATAGTACAGTGAAGTGCCATGTTACGTGGTTCAACATTATTACCCCTCACCAATTTGGAATTTGCGTGTGCGTGTGAAACCTACATATAGCTATGTGGTTTACTACAAAGGGAAAATATTCTTTTGCATTTTCTTTGTCAACTATGGAGTTTTAAGTTTCATTCTCTCAACTTGGAAATGTCAACTATTGATTCTATTTAAAGACAATGTTGTGGATTAAAAACCAAAGAGACAATTTCTGAGCATATTTGTATCATAAAAGAGGAAACTCCTTCTCTTGTGGAAACTATGTGTGATATTTTGAAGAGGCATAGTGAGTGCCACTAGTTGAAAATTTGATATGTAATCATTATTCGCATTATCTCATATCACATTTCCACCCTTCATATCACTTTATTTTTTTCAGTGGAGTGTGAGTAAAATTACACTACACATCCAATTTGGTCCTTGAAATGATTTATGTATCAATAATAGTTCACTAAGGGTGTATTTCATGGATATTTTAAGATTTATATAAATTTGTAAGAAATTATTAAAATCATTTAGTGTAGAGTAGTTAATTAATTGTTTAATAAAAGTATTTTTATCTATAAATAACTACATTAAATTTGATTTTCGTTGTGATATGAGATCTTTTAAAATGTTTTGTTTTAACAAGAAAAAAATGAAAAACAAATAAAAAAATATTTCGCATGAAATCTTTTCTCTAAAGATTTTTAATTATTTCACTAGTCAATTTCTCAAATTATATTTATTAAAATAAAATAAATATATTTTTTACGTTAATTTTGAACAAAAATAGAAATGATATTTTTATTTTATTTACAAAATAACAACACTGTTATAATAATAGGATTTCTCAAACAAAATTGATTTCATATATATTTTTTAAAGAAATTAGTTTTATAAAAATTACAATTTTTTTTATAAAAATTTAAAACCTTTTATAAATTTACCATCATTTTCAAGTTAAAAATATTTTATTAAATTGGTATTAATTATAATAATAAAATTATTTTTAAATTACCAATTGAAATAAAAATAAAAAAAATTATAAAAATACTAATAAAACTATCTATTGAAGTAAAATCTATAAAAATTTAATGACTTACTTAGAAGTGATGTAGCATAACAAAACTTATTTAAATTGAAATAACAACTCCAATGTGTTGCTTATATGAACTAGCACCAGAGATAGTCTAAAGAAAATAATAAATCTTAAAATTAATAATTGATAATGAATGTTTTGTTAAACTAAAGAAATATTATTGTTAAAATTGAGGAAAACTTGTGCAAATACAAAAAGTTATTTAGTGTGTTGAAATTTAAAATTAAATTTAAATTAATTACTATTACAATGTCTTTAAAATTCAGTTAATCTAACAAGGGAAGACATTTCAATTTGATGCAGGAGAAGGTTTTAACTTAATATTAAACAAAATACTATTTGAAAGTAATAGAGACTACAAATAAAATATGAATTTAAATATAAAAAATACCAGGCTTTATCAATAATTAATTTATATATAAATGAATGATAATGAGATCTCTTAATTACAATTTTTCTCATCAACATACCTTAAGAAATCAAATATAAAACCACTCCAATAATGCATGTTGATTCACTATACATTTAATAAGAGCAAAGTTATTTTTTAAAACACTCCATCTTAATAAACATAGCTTATATTTATAATACATGAATCTTAAAATATTATTTTGGTGTCAACTTCTTAAAGAAGTTTTTATAAGAATTGTTTGTGAATAAAAATACATATTTTACTATGAATTATTTAAAAATTGGTTAAAATTATTTATATAAATAATTTATTTTAATTTAAAACAATTGATGTATGCAAATTTTATTTTCTAGTGATAAAATTCACACTGAAATATTGAATGAAAGAAAGTAATCATTTGACACAAACTTTGAAAAGAAATTTTTTATTACGTCATACACACCAAAACATGTATAACAATGTCAGTATTTGATACCGTCAAAGACTTCATTTTTATGTAAAATACTTCTAGTATTGATGATTGCAAAATTTAAAGACTAAATGGACACAAATTCTTATTAATATTTAGGAGAGTGAACTAATTGATGTTTTATATGAATATTTTTTGAAGATTAATAGGTTGTAGTGTTGATGGTTATTAATGGAGAAAATGTTGGGTGCAGTGGGATAGGAAGGATCACAATAGTACTTGTAAGATTACACTCAAATAAATTATTTTAAATCATATTAATTAATATTTTAACATAATTATAAATACAAAGAATTCAAAATGAAAACGAGGGAAGAACAACAGAAGTGAAAGGGTGGCTGAATTAATGGGTGATGAATGAAATGCGAAGATGATAAGGTTTCTAAATGGAGTTAACAAGTTTGGTGGTTTTGGTAAACCATGGTTCTATGTTCATTCCTTCCATTCTCTATTGTCATCATCGTCATCATCGTCATCACCATCATCTTCATTTCACCATTCATTCACAGCCACAGGTACCCACACACACTATTCTTCTCGTTTCGCGCTTTCAATTTGAAGGGCACACACAAAATTGCATTTTTTTCATTGCAAAACGCTTCATTCCCTCGTTTTTGTTATTTATCTAGATCCCAATGTCCTCCACCGAGTTCTACAACGCTGCAGAGTTTCTATGAATTTAAAAGCTGCCACTAAAGCTCACGCAAGAGTTGTAGTGATTGGCCTTGCCACTTACCCTTCTCTTGTTTCATCTCTCATCTCAACCTATGCTCATTGCAACCAACCTCACATTGCCCTTCACGTTTTCTCCAACGTTTTGGACCTCTTTAGCAGGAATTTGGTGATCGCGAGTTTGATGAAAGATGGACAATGTGATGTTGCGACGAAGGTGTTTGGTAAAATGCTTGTGAGAGATGTGGTCACTTGGAACTCCATGGTTGGAGGTTACGTCAAAAGCTCGCGCTTCTTCGATGCGTTGAACCTTTTCCGGAGGATGCTGAGTGCCAAGGTTGAGCCTGATGGGTTCACCTTTGCTTCTGTAATTACTGCGTGTGCACGCCTTGGCGCTCTTTGCAATGCCAAGTGGGTGCACGGTTTGATGGTTGAGAAGAGGGTTGAGCTGAATTATATATTGAGTGCTGCGTTGATTGACATGTATGCTAAGTGTGGTAGGATTGATGTATCAAGACAGGTTTTTGAGGAGGTTGTGCGTGATCATGTGTCGGTTTGGAATGCTATGATTAGTGGGTTGGCAATTCACGGACTTGCAATGGATGTCATTGTGATTTTTTCGAGGATGGAGACAGAGTGTGTTTTGCCAGATTCTGTCACTTTTATAGGGATTCTGACTGCTTGTAGCCATTGCGGATTGGTTGAAGAAGGTCGCAAGTATTTTGATATGATGCAGAACCGTTTCATGATTCAGCCACAGCTGGAGCATTATGGAACCATGGTTGATCTCTTCGGACGAGCAGGGCTTACGGAAGAGGCCTATGCTCTGATTAAGGTGATGCCTATGGAGCCTGATGTTGTGATATGGAGAGCACTTCTGAGTGCTTGTCGAATCTACAGAAAGAAAGAACTTGGTGAAGTTGCCATTGCAAATATATCCCGCCTAGAGTGTGGAGACTTTGTGTTGTTGTCAAATATGTATTGTTCTCTAAAGAATTGGGATAGTGCTGAGAGGGTGAGACGGAGGATGAAAATGGGAGGGATTCGGAAAAACCGTGGTAAGAGTTGGATTGAATTGGGAAACAGCATTCAAAAATTCAGTGCAGCTGATCATTCACATGCGGAAATGAAATCAATTTACCGAGTGCTGGAAGGTTTGATCCAAAGAGCTAAGTTGGATGGATTCACACCCTTGACGGATCTGGTTTTGATGGATGTGTCTGAAGAAGAAAAGGAGGAAAATTTAATATTTCACAGCGAGAAGTTAGCGTTGGCCTATGGGGTCCTGAAAAGTAGCCCTGGAACAAAAATCAGGATTTCCAAAAACCTTCGTATCTGCCTAGACTGTCACAATTGGATTAAAATTGTATCAAAAATATTAAACAGAGAGATCATTGTGAGGGATCGGATTCGGTTTCACCAATTTGAAGGTGGTGCATGCTCATGCAGAGACTACTGGTAGAGTTATTTCTTGGTTGCATGGCTGAGTGCCCTCAGCTTATGCACATATTGATTGAGAAGAAAGTCTCTGATGTGTGAGAAGGGATGGACACCAAGTCCTCATGGACCAAAGTATGATGATGAACAAAGTGAACCAGGACACCAAATGGAAGTTGTGGGAGTAGACTGACTTTAAGTCAGTTATAACCAAGTCAAATGCCTTGGGCAGGCAGCATAGCTCTAAAACATACATGAAGTTTTTAAGATTCTGGTTCATTGAGGGGAGTAACTGGTGGTGAAAGTCCTCTTCTCCTTTTGGGTCTAGGTGCTCCCTCATACCTTTTCCTGACCTCCAAATGGAATATTACCGGTTGTTGGAAAAAGGAACAATATTTAAAATTGCAGACAGTAATTTTTTATCAACCCGTTATATTTTGATGACAGCAACAATAATTTTTTTGTTTTCCCTTTGTTCCCTTCACTTTCACTGGACAAAAATGGCATTTGTGTTGATCATGCAACAGCTCTGGCCGACAACACAAGCAGAGCATGTTACATCAAATGGAGAACCTGAGGACATCAAGTTGCCATATTTTGAGCTAGCCAACGTCAAATTAACCATCTCTTAGACATTAGGTCATCATTCTTCAATTTCTTATCGAAGCATAAATTTTGTATTGCTTACACTGAAATTTAGATTTCTTATACCATCATGGTATCAAGTGCTATCCTTTTGATTAAGCCGATCATGCTGAAAGGTTTTGCTTGCTTGGTCTATGTTTCTCTTCGTAAAAATGGGTCACCCTTTGAGATTGAAATGCACTTATTGGACTGGATTGCACCTCCTGTTTGGTCTTGGTTGTGATTATGTGAAAGAACCTAGTTTTCTGACATCCAATTCAAGTAGCTTTAAATACAAAAGATTATGTGATTTTGGTATAAGCTTGATCAAGTTATCTGAATTAATTGCAGAAGAGGAAGCCTTCCTCGGTCTAATTATTTGTCTAATTGAGTGGCTGGATAATGAGTCCTTCTGAGGCTTAGATTATCAGTGTGTTAATATGAGGTGGTGAAGAAAGAGGAATGAAAACTGAGTAACTACGTGTATCGTTTATTTTATTGTGGAGAAATAATTGGTTTTTTTAGCTTAATAAGGACTTTTGTAAGATAAACATTATTTCTCTATATTCAAGTCGAATCAACTATCTGTTCAGATGAAAAATTGTGGCATTCACTTTCTTTAGTAAAGGTAGGAAAATAAATCTCAAAATCCTACAAAATTCACTTTGGATCTGATTTAATGTAACAAAATCAAAGTGGATGGTGAGATTTATGTTATACTTATACCATATAATTTGATCATATTTAGTTGGTCTAAGATTTTCAACATATCTTCTTAGTTATTTTTTATTGGTTGGTGAGATGGGCATGTCTTGTGTATACCTTATTGATTTATGGTATGCTGATTTAAGAAAGAAAAAAAGGTAGCAAAAGGGATTATTTTCTAGATTGCTTAATAGAAAATAATATATAAGAAAATAAAGTTAAATATATAAATAACATAAATATCTCTAATTGTAAAAAATGTTGTTCCTCCCAACTTGAAATGATTGAATACATAATTGATCTCACAAGTTTGTTTTCTTTCATTTTTAAGTGATATCAAACAATGGAAAAATAAAAAATAAAAAATTTGCCCCTTCTTTTCATTCGTTTCACTTTCATACCATTAAGGTGCCAAGTTATAGGTAGCTAGAAGACTTAAGCAGCTAATTAAAAAAGTGGTTATAAGATGTTCCAATATTGTTCATAATCTCGGCTCTAAAGGGACGAGTCTTCTTGCATTTAAATATTGGAAGATGTTTTTTAATACAAAAATTGGACAACTATTCATGTTTTCTCCTTTCTATTTTATTTCTTTCTGTTCGAGCATACCATTAAATAAATCAAATTAATTAATTTACAAAGCCATGTTTAGCAAGGGTAGGTTTCTTTTGAAGTAAACAAAAATGGACAACTCCTTGCATGACATGATGTTACCGGACACAACGCCATTATTTAGGCAAGCACTAAAAGAATGGCATCCTCAGCTCCATCCACATTTTCCCTTTCCACTGGACTCTCTCTTTTCATGCCAAACCATCTATAATGGTAATATAATCATCACATAAAGATCAACCTCATATGCCTACAGCACTAGCCAAAACAAATTAAATTCAAACTTCTAACTCTAAGAAAATGGAAGCTCACAGTTTGTGTTGCTCATTGGAAATATTGACACACCATATCAACATTATCACTGAGCTTATTACCTCACCTTATTATTGTTTTGCAGTGCTTTTGGTTGCATGTCTAGCAACCCTCTACCTTGCATGCAGAAGAAAAGCACCAGTTTATTTGATAGACTTCAACTGCTACTGTCCACCCAGTTCTTATAGGTTACCAATGGCCATGTTTGAAGAGAATCAACTTTATGAGGACATGGATCCAGAGGCTATTGCTTTCCAATGCAAGATCATGGCCAAATCAGGATTCAGTGAGCTAACATCCATTTCTCCATCTCTTGCTGAGATACCCAAAATCAAGGCTCTCTCCTTTGCCCTTGAGGAGGCTGAGACAATCATGTGTTCAGTAATCAAAAACCTGTTCGAGAAAAACAAGATCAACCCTAAAACCATTGACATACTCATCACTAATAGTAGTGTCTTCTGCCCCACCCCATCTCTTAGTGCCATGGTGGTTAACAAGTTCAGAATGAGGAGCAACATCATGAGCTTCAACCTATCTGGTATGGGATGCAGTGCTGGAATTATTTCAATGAGTCTAGCCAAAGACTTGTTGAGAGTTCATAGGAACTCACTAGCTTTAATAGTAAGCACAGAGACGCTGAGTCTGAATTGGTACACTGGTAAAGTCCCTTCTATGCTTCTATCTAATTGCCTATTCAGAATGGGTGGCGCAGCTATATTAATGTCTAGTAGGGTCCAAGATAAGCACAAGGCAAAGTATAAACTACAGCATATTGTTAGAACAATCACTGCACAGGATGATCAATCTCATGGCTGTGTCTACCAACAAGTGGATCCAGCGGACAAAGAAGGTGTATCCATATCAAAGAACATAGTCAACGTGTCTGGAGATGCACTGAAGAAAAATATAGCTTCACTAGGACCACTGGTTCTGCCTTTGAGGGAGCAATTCTTGTATTTATTTTCCATTATTTGTCGGAAAATGTGTTGTACGAGAAGAATAAGCATCTACACTCCAAAATTCAACCATGCTTTTGAGCATTTCTGCATACATTCAGGGGGAAGAGCCATCATAGAAGCCGTTGAAAGAAACTTGAAGCTAAGGAAACAGGACGTGGAGCCATCAACCATGACTCTCTACAGGTTTGGAAATATTTCATCATCTTCAATTTGGTATGAGCTGAGCTACATAGAAGCAAAAGGAAGGATGAAATGTGGGGATAGGGTGTGGCAAATTGCTTTTGGAAGTGGATTCAAGTGTAATAGTGCAGTGTGGAAATGTGTATGTGATATGAAGCCAGACACAGCCACTGCATGGAGGGATACAATTCACTCCTACCCTGTCGATATTATGAGAACAAACTGAGGATACTCATCATTGTGAATTTGGGTCGTTGTACACATTCTGTCTTCTGCTGCCTTTAAACTTCAAGCTTCAACATCTTATATTCCTTTCCAAAAGTAATACTTGATTTGATAAGAAAAAAACTACTGTATCATCATCCATAGTTGTAGTTCGATAACCAATCTATTCACTTTTTAAGCAATAACTACGTCATCTTTAAGAATTGTTTTAAATAAATGGTGTCATTTTTGTGTACAGGAGTAATGTCCTATACTCAGATGCTATAAAATAGCAATAAGACTTCAATTACAAAGTTCGACACATTGAAAATAAAAATAAAAATCCAATCTCGATATTTCTAAAAATGTTTTTCAGCAAATAAGTAGGGTACTCACGGTGCTTCAACTACCTCATTTGTAGAGCTGGTGGTAAACTAAAGTTGCTATATTAGATATATTTAAAACAAACTATATTTTAAATATATTTATAAAAGAGAATTCCACAATACTTAAAAATTTATTTTTCATTTTTATAGTTTACATTTTAATGATTTAACTACATAAGAAAATATTAATAAATTAAATTAAAATTATTAATTATAATTAAATATTTCAATATTAAAATATAATAATTTTTAATTAACCTAATAAAAATATTAATTAACAAATAAAAATTTAAAAATTATTTATATAATTAAAAATATATTTTTAAAAAGATACATATAAAAAAGACGAAATAAAATCCATAACCCATCCCTACAAAAAAATCAGCCTATCCCACACTGATTTTGGTAGGTTGAAGATGATGCTGACCAATCAAAGCTAAGTTTTTCAACAAATAGGTATCGGAAAATAAAAATCAATAAAATAAATTAAACTTTTTCCGGTTAAAATCGATTTATATTACTGCTTTTAACTTCATGTAAAGCTCTCGTTTAAGTTGTCCGAAATTAAAATACGTGATTCAATTCAATTCTACAATGGATCTATGTAGGAATAGTCTTTAAAAGAAATCTAATGATACAAAATCGACGATAAAAGGCTGTTAAAAGAGGACTCGGAATCACCCCAACAGGTACATTTACACCAGAACCTCGAATCCGCATATTTTGGCAAAATGAATAGCCTGAGATGTGAGGAGAATGTCTAGAATCGACGGATATCTTTAGGAGGCCTGAAGTTAAGGGGGTGGGTTTCTGGAGTGGCATTCTCATCTTCCTTCCACATTTTTATCGTCTTGTCAGCTTCGCAAGTTATAAGCCTCGAACCAGTAAGATCATAGGTACAAGCATAAATACCAGCTTCACTGTCCAGTGAACCTGTCGGGGGAAGAGGAAAGCAAATAGTGTAATTAGACTTGTCAATCTCGTGGGTATGAGTGAACTTCTAGCATTAAACTAAACATCCAAGAGCAGCCAAACATGCATACCAGGCTGCACAATGGTTTGGGATTGCTGGAAATTGTGACCACTCTTCCAATCCCAGAACCACATACTGCCATTGTCACCTTCAACCAGGTGAAAAAAAGAGAATAAAGATTAGTGCAAGGGACACACAGAATATCCATATCAAATTCTTCAGATGACGCAATAAGTCAAAATTAGGGACACGGATTAGTTGATTTTATTCTATTTAAGTAATTTCCTAAGATTTTTAATTTGTTTTCGTACCTCCAGTAACCATCACACCTTCCTCATTGACAGCCATTGCGTTGATGATAGTTTTCTGTTGAGAGCTGCAGATAAAGCAGAATAATGAGAAGACAATTATTTAAGCAATAACTTTCCAACCAAATCTATCAAGAGATATAATTGAACTTGAATATTTAGACAACTGATATAAACAAAATATTCCCGTTTTAGCGTTTTGTCCCCCAGGAAACTGCCGAGGCATTCATTAATGATTCCCTAATAACATAAGTTTGGTAATAGTAAGTTTAAGAAACTCACAGCATATTGTGCAAAAATTCTCCTTTTGGAAGGTTGAACTTTTTAATATTGTCAGCTGAAGCAGATGCAAAAGATTGCCTGCAGCCAACAGAAAAATAAGACAGTTACAAGACAATAGACTAAAAAATTAACTAACCATAAATATTTCACCATCCTAGAAGCAATAATCATATGATATCAAACACATACTCTTTGGGATGTTGGGCCATTGCTCGAACAGATTTTTTATGGTTTGTGAGAGTTAACATTGTTTTACCTGGATGAATGCATCACATGTCAGATTGTGCATATAATCAATACACAGATAAGCAAAAACTTCGGAAAAAATGAATCCATAAATTACCATATCTTAGGTCCCACATCTTGATGGTCGTGTCATGTGAACCCGTAACAACTTGGGGATCCTGTAAACAAAATAAGACCCAAGTAAGGCCTCCGAAGAGCTTGTAAAAAAGGGTTAAAAAATAGAACAATTTAAGACATGTTTCAAAACTGCATTTAATGATAGTCGCTTTCGCATTTATCATATCAAAGAAACGGGGGCTATACAAATCTAATAATCTGCATACCAGAGCCTTACAAATACTAGTTAGTATGTTGGAGAATAAAACTTGATATGCATGTATATAGAATACGTTGATATTGTGGTCCAGCTAAATATCAAGAAAAAAAAAAATGAGACAACGGTAGAATCAGCATACCGTTGGCCGGGTAAACACAGAGCAGACAGTGTTATCATGACCTGAAAGAGCATGAATCTGCATTTTACTACGTATATCCCAAACCTGAAAATTTAGCATCAGCAAGTGTAAATATAATTTTTCTATTGCTCAATAGCACCTTTGAAAAATATTCCATAATATAACTATGTCAATAAAATCCATACCCGGCAGACAGAATCTCGTCCTCCAGTTAGTAAAACATCAATAGTGGGATGAAGTGCCAAGCAATAAACACCACTCAGATGACCATGATAAGACCTAATGACCTAAACATAATATCATGTATTTTAGTGGCCTGTTATTTGATGAGTTCCAGAAAATTGCTGAAATATTCACCCCCAGAAAAATTTATACTGAAATGGAGATTTGACCTTATTCTGTTCAAGATCCCAGCATTTGACTTGTTTATCGTCACCAGCAGAGAACATGTATGTATGCCTGCTGCTAACAGCAAGTCCTTCAAAAAAACACATTGTTATTTTTAACCTGATTCACTGTTGCTGCCACCACCAATAATACTTTCATATCTTACCTCTAATTTGTTCAATGTGGCCTGTTAATGTGAGCTTTAAAACTCCACTTGCCAAGTCCCATATCTGCCCAAATGAATCACTCAGCAAAAAAACATCTAATGTTTTAAATAGAGCATAAGATCATATCCTTTACGAATGACAAAACGGATCAGTCTTTCCTGTAGCCTGCAGAGAGAGACTAGCCCGCCATAATCAAAATAGAGGTGAGCCAACCAATAATTTTTTTCATATACATTTTTTTATATGTATTTTTGTTAAAATATATCTTTAATTATATTAATAATTTTTAAGTTTTTATTTATTAATTAATATATTTATTAGATAAATTAAAAAAATTATTATATTTATGTGTCAAAATAACTAATTATAATCAATAATTTAAACTTAATTGATTAGTTTTTATAATTTAAATTATAATATTATAATATATTTATATATTTCAATAATATAACATAAAAAATATAATATTTTTAATTATAATCTTTTTTATTTTAATTTTAATATATAAATATTTTTTTAAAACGGGTTAATCCGTCCCGCCCTTGACTTACCAAGTTGGCGGGTTAGACATGACGAATCAGAATGGGCTGGTAGACTAAAATCACCAACACAGCCTGCCACTTTTTGGGTAAACTTGTAGGCCGTCCATCAAACCTAGTCCGTTTTGTCATTTCTATATATTTTTAGCTTCAATTCATAGCAAGTTCACTGTAATAACACGCCAATATTTTTAATAAATAAATAATTAACATATGGCTTAAAAATACTGTAGGAAAAGAGAAACCTCACAAGGTCAAATTAATTTTGTGAAGGCATTGCATATGCTCTAATTACCAAAAAAATGTGCAGCAGCTATAAAGTTGAATATTAAAACATTTTTAAAAACGGAAGGCTGCTCAGATTAAATTATTAAGAATCGTAATCCACAGAATCAACAAGTCAACATGGCCCACTATGTTTTCCTTCTTATAAACATGCCATCTCATAACAAGCAACTATAATATGCCTTTTGTGATCAAATACCTTGATAGTTCGGTCTGCAGAACCAGTACAAAACCATGTGTTACTGGGATCAATTGCAATAGATCTCACCCATCCTAAGTGACCGCTGATGACCTACACAACATATCAAGGTTCAAATCATTAAACTACAACTATATCAATAGTATTAGAATTTAAAATGCCTATCTAAATGATATAAGTCAAACCTCAAAAGGCTAAAAGAATGAAGACAATAGACAATTATTTATTACGCCAGAGTTTGAATGGCTTAGATTCAAAATTGAAATTTGCTAAGCTGAATGGAACCACAAATGCTTGAGAAATTGCATTCCTACAGCTAAAGAACTTTATCCAAGTACACCAGAAAATGGCCTCCAACACCGCAATCGTATGCTTTAAATAGATTTATAAAATTATTCTTCTTTACCATGTAGTGCATGCACAACAATCTATATGAACAATGAGTGATCTGTAAGAGCAACCCACATTACTACAAAACACATCTCAATTTAAAATGAATTTAAGAGATAAATGGGTTGTCGGATGGCACAACCCAACCAAACTGAGCTAGGATTATGTTTTATTGGTCTGTCATCTTCGAACTTCTCTATTATCCCAAACCACTGTTAATAGAGTTGACCATCAAATTTGTAAATAAAGAATATGTTGAAATAAGTGGTGGCACATCTCTCAATACAGATGAAGTAATGACAATCATAATTAAGTGCTTAGAAAATAGACTTTTGCAAATTCAACTAAAGAACTATGAACTTTAAGAAATATATATATATATTTAAAATTCAACGAAATTCTAGTGAGCACATCTTCATAGATGTATTCTTTTTTCACTAAAAAATGCAAATCAGCTCTAAGATTCCCATATATTTGGGGTTGTCCAACAGATCATTTATATAAATGATAAATCAGAATTTTCTATGTTACTATACATCATCTGTGCATGTACATCCAAGATAACCTTGCACCAATTGTAAGAAAATGGAGGCAACACTATAATGGAACTAAGCTGAGGTAAACTACTAGCTAATGCACCAAACATGCCCAATTATATGTCTTGGTTCACACAATCTGAGGATGAAAAATGAAAAATACTAATGCCACTTATCCATTATTAAATATCAAGTATAACCAAAAAAGGGTTGAGATTCGGACCCTGTAGTTCTTCCATGGTGCATGCCATACAGGACGTGGCCATTTACTTGGCATTCTTTCCATCAAAGCAGATGTTGATAAGTTCCTGTAATGTAGAAATCATAGCACTTTATTCAAAATGTTAGATGGAATATCAATCCTATATACATACATACAATCCTACATTGGCAAAATGCATAAACATATTGAGAAAAAAAACACAAGATAGTGTAAAGAATGAACAAATTGAGAATTACACTCTTAGAAAAATGTACCGTAACAATGACAGCTACAAGACACAAATAACCTATCTTGGGATCCCTTTAAACTATAAAAAGCATGAGAGAAAGCATGAACCTCTCAGACGAACCAGAGGCAGAAATAATTGCTGTACTTTTGCTCTGAAAGCCAGTTTCATTCCTGTAAGGCAAGGGAAAATACATAAAAATCAACAATCTTCAGTAACAACGATTCAAAAATTTAGCATGCTGTGACACAATCATGCTTCAATTTTATAAGCTGTTGCTTTCCTTTCTACAATGTTACAGAAGTATAATGCATGTGACTTCAAGAAATCATATTAAAATCTGAAAACAAGCAAAAATAAAAATAAAAGAAAAGGAAAATGGAACAGTATATCCCCCAACAGATGGAATCCCATTTATTTTTCTTTTGAAAATAAAATGTCACACATAGCAAACTTCCGTCATTTCTCACAAAGTAAACAATTTGTTGTTATATTGAAAACTGAATAGGTTCTTCAAACAATATTTTAAAGATTCATGATTCACTATCCATTATTCAACTTTAGCAAGCAGAATATATGATTCAGATCTTAACTGTTATATAGACTAACATGTGCAAAATAAATTTTCAAATAATTCAAGAACTGTAAAGAAAAAACCTGATGAGAATGAGCCAACACAGTTTGTGAGTAAAAAAAGCTTCCCTGTCCCACATACAAACAAATTATGAAAAATGGAGGAAGGTATTCTCACGGTGTTGTGGATGGCATAGCTGGACCAACAACCAATGCATTTTGGGATCGTCCTTTCTGAGAATCTTTGGAATCTCCAGGACCTGTTAAACAATAAAAAACAGTATCACCATGTTGAGCAGTAACAACATGGTTCTCTTAATTATTGAGGAATAATTACATGGAAAAATGCTGAAAACACTGGCGATAACACTAAAATTCCATTTAAGAGATGGTGATTACATTTTGGGGGCAGGGCATAGTTGTAAGAAACATAATATACAAGTGGGCATATCAAACTCTTCCTAAGTGTCAAAAGTGTGCACATCCTAGTATCATTTAACACACAAGGGTTGCGGGGGGTTGAAGAAAAGCAGTAGTTCAAGAATCAACAGTTATGTAAAGGCACACGCATAACTTTACATTGCTTGAGAAACTTATTTTGGGTTTCAATACAGTGTACAAAGAGGGACCTCTCAAGGATTTAGTTAAAATGTTCATCAGTTGTTTATTAGAGCTTTCAAATTCAATTACTAGTTCCTTAGACATTAACTTTTCTCTAACAAAATAATAATCAATCTTGATATGTTTTATTCTTTCATGAAAGACTGGGTTGAAAGCAATACGGAGAGCTGCCTGATTATCACAAAATAACTTCATCTGCCCATTATCACAAAATTTTAATTCTTGAAGGATTTGTTTTATCCACACAAGTTCACATGTAGCAAGTGTCATAGATCTATACTCAGTTTTTGCACTAGATCGAGCAACAATATTTTGCTTTTTACTCTTCCAAGAAATCAAATTCCCTCCAATAAAAATACAATACCCAATAGTAGATCTTCTATCAACGGGACAACTAACTCAATCTGCATCACAATAACCTAGAATTTGAGTATTACCCTTATCTTCATATAGCAATCCTTGTTCTGGGCCCCTTTAACATATCTCAGAATGCAAATTAAGGCATCCTAATGATCAGTACAAGGATTTTGTAAAGTTGGCTAACTACGCCAACTGCATAAGAAAGATTAGGTCGAGTAATAGTAAGATAAATAAGTTTACCAACCAACCTCTTATATCTTTCTGGGTCTAATAACTTTTCTACTTTATCTCCTACCAATTTCTGATTAGGGTCCATTGGGGTATCAATGGGTTTACAATTTGTTAAACCGATCTCCTTTAGAATATCAAGAGCATACTTCCTTTGAGAGATGATCACACCTTCCTTTGACTGGGTCACTTCAATATCAAGGAAATACTTCAATTGACCAAGATCTTTGGTTTGGAAGTGAGCAAATAGATGATTTTTCAGTTGCTGATCTTAGTATAATCATTGTCTGTAATAATAATATCATCAACATAAACCATAAAATACACACACTTGCCTGAAGAGAAATGACAATAAAACACTGAGTGATCTCCTTCACTCCTTTTCAAGCCAAACAAATGTACAACATGACTGAATTTCTCAAATCAAGCTCGAGTGATTGTTTCAAGCCATAAAGAGACCAGTGTAGCTTACACACTAAACCAGACTCCCCTGAGCAACAAAGCCAAGAGATTGCTCCATATAAATCTCTTCCTCAAGGTCACCATGAAGAAAGACATTTTTAATATCCAATTGGTGAAAGGGCCAATGACAAATAGCAATCATAGCAAGGAAAAGACGAATAGTGGAAATCTTAGCTACTGGAGAGAAGGTATCACAATAATTGAGGCCATAAATTTGAGTATAACCTTTAGCTACTAGGCGAGCTTTAAGACGATCCACTTTACCATTATTATCAACTTTAACTACATAGACCCACCTACTTCCACAGCCTTTTTCCCAGGAGGAAGAGGGACAAGCTCCCAAGTGTCATTGTGCTCAAAAGCCTGCATTTCATGTATCATAGCTTGTCGCCATCCATGGTGATCAATAGAACATTATTAGGAATAATGGTGCTAGCTAAAGAGACAACAAATAAAGAATAAGAAGAAGACAAACGATGGTAACTTAAAAAGTTATAAATAGAAAAGGGATTCCGAAGGAACAAATATCTTTTCTGAGTGCAATAGACCATCCAGAATCAAAAGTGGGAGAGGAGATCAAAGGATTCATGGTATGAGAAGCTGATGGAGAAAGTTCTAAATCACGATTATCTGCAGAATCGGGTAAAGGTGTAGGTGGGGTCCTACAGTGATATGTAAGAAGAGGAGGAGAATCATTGAGACCTGTAGGTTGAATTGGTGAAGGACCAGGTATTATAAGTGGATCACATAAGGGTATAGGAAGAACATTTTGAATAGAGGAACCATCCTCCATGGGAGAAGAAAAGAAGGGTATTTCTTTAAAGAATGTGACATCAGCAGACATATAATACCTTTTGGTGGATGAAGAATAATATTTGTACCCTTTTTGGAGGCGAGAGGACCCTAAGAAGACACATTTAATGGCTTTAGCACTTAACTTGTCAAGACCTAGAGATACATTATGTACAAAACAGGTACAACAAAATACACAAGGAGACACATGATAAAGAGGATCATCTGGAAAGACAAGGGAATGAGAAATTTGATTTTGAAGAGAAGAAGATGGCATGCGATTGATTAGAAAACAAGCACTGAGAACTGCATCTTCCCAATGATGAACATTGACATTCAACATTAGAGAGCGTGCAGTCTCAATAAGATGCCTATTTATCTTTTCTGCAATACCATTTTGCAGTGGAGTGTGAAGGCAAATTGCTTGATGTAAAATGCCTTGGTAAGATAAAAAAGGAGAAGGCTGAAAAATATTTTTTGACATTATCACTTCTGAGAACTTTAATTATCTTCTCAAATTGATTTTTAATTTCATTGAAGGACACAAAAATGGACAAAATTTCATATCTGTCTTTCATTAAATAAACTCAAGTACAACTGGAAAATTCATCAATAAAGGTTATAAAATAGTGAAAGTCAAATGAAGAGACACGACTCGGTCCCCAAACATCAGAATGAATATTTGAAAGAGGAAAATTACATCGAGTTTCAGTATGTTTTAGAAAGGTAGACCTAACATGTTTTCCTAATTGGCAATATTCACATTCTAAACTCTGAAGATGTTTGAGATTAGGAGCCATCATTTTCAACTTTGGTAAACTTAGGTGACCCAGACGATCATGCAAAAGTTTAAGGGCAGGAGAAACAAGACATGACCCCGAAGGACTTGGATTTAGATAGCACAGACCACGTGATTCATGTCCTTCTCCAATCAGACGACTCGTACCATGTTCTTGAATAACAACAGAATTGGAATTAAAAGTTACAGAACAATTCAGAGAACGAGTCAATTGACTTAGAGAAATCAAGTTATAAGGGCAATTAGGAATGAAAAGAACAAAATTTAAATTCAAAGAAGGGGTTAAAGGAATATGGTCAATTCCTTGTGACTTTCTTTTAGATTTATAAGTCAAAGTAATCAGATGAGGAATTTTAGGATAGGACATGGAGGAAAATGAGGAATTGTTACCAGATATATGATCAAAGGCACCTGAATCAAGAATTCATGGGTTTTGACCTTCCACAGATTGAGAAATGCATGTTGTTGAAACACTAGGCATGGAAGAAGATTGACTTGGCTAATGAATTTTCCTGATTTGAAGTTCAAAAACTCTTGATACTCCTCATCAGAGATATTCATATCCGATTTTTCAGACTTAGAAACATGGGAAGAGGTAATCCTGTCAGCAAAACCGTGTAAGGAATAACAATTTTCTTGTGTGTACCCCATCTTCTTGCAATAAGAACATTAAAGACGACCTTTTGTACTCCCACGAGGAGCAACCATAGCTGAAGTTTCAACTGTCTCCACCTGATTCTCATCTGTCATAAGATTGAGAACTCAAATCAGCTTCGTGACAAGATTATCCATTGACAGAACCTGATCACCAGCTAAGATTTGATCATGTACATGATCAAAATCAAAGTACAGACTCCTCAAAATTAGAACCATATAAATCTTATCCAGTTTGGAGTTTAACTCCTCTAAGGTATTTGCCACAAAAAACCTTTTTAATTCCTCCATAGCAGTCCTATCTTTTGCAATGTGAGACATTATGCCATGATTTGTCTGTTTGAGAGACATCACTCTTTGAGTTGCATCAAAGAGACACTAAATATCATTAGCAAAAATGTCTTGAGCCTTTTTCCAAAAGGAAGAGCAGGTTTTGAATGATCTGAGAACCTTAGGTTCCAAAGGTTGCACAAAGCTGGAAGTCTATTTTCTCCCACTGGGATCTCTCTAAGGAATAGAGTTCACATCTTTCTCTTGATGGTCATGATACCCCTGACTTACAAACCATAGTTCAACTGATGCAGACAAGGATAGATAATTTTTCCAGTTGAGTTTGACACTGATTATGGTTGGAGTAGCAGAAAAAGAAAAAGCACTAGATGAAGCCATTTATCTGAAACAAAGATGAAAGATAAACCTAACCAATAGGGTACCCATGTGACCTAGCTTCCAAAGTTTTCAAAACTGAAAAATAAGGGCACCAATGGACTCGGAGGGTGCTAACAAGTCAACCGGTGGTAATCGGCCTTGATTCCGGCCACTGAACGGCGGCACGTGGGGCACACGCACCTGGGAGATCTGCCTGGAGATGTTGCGCATGACGACGTGTGGGGCCGCAAATGGAGGAGCGATTGGCAGGGGTGGGTCGCACTCTTCAAGGCGCACCAAACCCTACCGTCGAAGATGACAGGGATGATCGAAAATAAGTGCGGAAGTGAGAAACTTATTTTGGATTTCAAGACAATGTCTAAAGGAGATACAACATAGAAGATATGGGTCTCAGCCCAAACCCTTAACCCTAGTCTAAGGAACATACACAGAAAATACAAAAAGATAGAAAAACAACATGTCTCAACAACATTCTTTAAAATATAGTTATAAATTATCTATTTTCACAAACATGTGATTATATCAATTTCAAATCTGCAACCTTGTCCTCAATAGATCTTCTTAAGTTAAAAGGACTTGTCCTAACTCCTGAAACTTAGGGTCCGCATGTGCCTACATATCTCACCCTCAAAATTCAAAATCATATAGTACAGTAGTATAATACCCCGAAAAAAATAGACAGAACTTACTCTCCTACGAAATAAATAAAAAACACGACACAGCAACCTTACACTTACAACAATGTAACACAGACAATGGCAATGCCACAAGAAACTATCATTTAATCACATACAACAAAAAATGGCTGAGAAACTACAAACACCCTAAATTCAATTCAATAACTATCCTGTAACTAAATTGTCAATCCATATTCTTAGACCGGTAAGGCACCTGGAAGAGCAAGAACATTCGAGGGCCCTGCTTGTTGGGCGCGATCCTGTGCAGCAGAACTAACTTGACGAGGAGGTTGATTGACAGTGCTTTTGATTCCAGCATACTCCACGCTCACCTAGTTTTCATTCCAAACAACACAGCACAACTACCACATGTCAAAATTCAAACATCCAAAACCCCGAAAGCACTCACAATATCGTACCTTAGGGTTTAAGGAGAAAACTCAACAACAACAAGCGTACTAACTAATTCAAAACCAAACAAAACTGCAAGCATTTCAAAAATTCAGATTAATTAACTAACTAACCTTGTGGCTAATGCGAATTTTCTTGCTGAAATAGAAAAGTGGAACCATAAATCAGCGTTGGAGTGTAAGATATTACGTAGAGAGCGAGAAGAGGGGAAAGAAGCAAAAACCTGTCGGCATCGGGAGGAGCGAGGTGTCCATGGATGGGAGAGAAGAGATCGAGAGCGCGCTTCAGAGACTTGAAGCTTAGCTTCTTCAGTGACTGTGGCTCCACGGACTCCACCTCCATCTACGTCGTCGTTTCCGTCTAGGGTTTTACAGAAACAACTTTTTCAAACGGAGTCCTGCTAAGACGCGGCGCTAAAGCTTCACCCCGCTAGCTAGCCATCGCACGCTCGTTCAACACTCTTTCCTTATTAGCTGCGTCAATTCAGTTTTGTTTCCACTCTAACTATGATTGTCTTAAAAAAAAATGTATATATTATTTTTAATCATTTTAGTCCTTATTGTATTGATAAAAGGAAAATAATATGTGCATGAATTAAAAGAATATAAAAATAATATGTATAAGAATTAAAACAAAATGTTTTTAAGTACGGACATTAAAACAAAAAGTTTTTGCTATTAGAGGAACCAAAATAGTTAATTTCTTTTAAATTTTTTTTTATGATATAAACGTAGTCACAATATTATATAAATATATATATATATAATAAATATAAAATGAAAATAAAAAATATAAATAAAATACGCTTAGAATGTATATTTTTTACATGATTCTTTTTAGATAAAATATATTTTCAATGCATTTACATATAGTTAAATTTGGTTTTAAACTTTTTAATTTTATATATTTAAATATGTAATGACATGTTAGTTTAAAATAATTATTGGTATAACATAGTTAGATACATAAAGTCAACATTAAGTGATTAGTGGACCGTATAAAAATTAAATATTTTGACAACTAAACCATAAAAATAATTTTGGAGAGAAAAAAAGTTAAATGTAATTATATAAGATTAAAAATATATTTAATTTTCTCTAATCGTCATAGGAAGGGGAGGCACACAATTAGATTTTCTCATATGTAGTGTTCAGCAATTAAGCACTGTTTTCCCTCAGTGTAATTTATTCTATACTATATATTTGAATGCTCGCGTATGAAAAAGAAAATCTTAAAGATATAATTTTGTATTAGTAAGTAACATGGCATTAGTTATCATGTATTTTTTTTAAAAGAAAACTAATTTATTCTCTTAAAAAATTACTATTAGTAGTAATATAAAAAATTACTCTTGTTATTAAAAAATTATTATGTAATTTCATTTGTAAATTACAAATTTAATATCTGTGCTTCACTAGTTATTACTCTTGTTTTAATTCTCTTAATTCTAAGCTTTGACATAACAGACCTGAGATTTATGTTTTGAATGGAATATTATCCTGCTCTAAATTTGAAAACTCATGATTGAAAAGAACAAGATCATGGTATTTGATATAACCATTTCCTGTACACAGAAGACAATCAAAACTATTCACATTGGTTTTCTGTCAAAATGTATAGTTATATATTTACTATAGTCATATCTGATGCAAAATTTGTACTTAAGCTAAGCCTTTGGCTTTGGCTGTCTTCCAGGCATTTGCAATGGCATCACAAAATGACTGCATTATGAGAGACCCTTTGTTATATAATACTTGGTCAAAGCGTTGGAGCTTGAAAGGATATGTATGTACAAACAGCAAGTTGTTCCTCCTACAGAGGGATCCAGCCCTGTTGATAATATAATTGAGGAGTTCAGGTGAGAGCAATGTCAGGTGTAAACATTGTTTTTATTGAAATAGATAAATAAAAAGGTTTTACCTTGATTAGTCCCGTCTCAGTACCACAAAAAATGATGTCATTGGCTACTAGAATACTTGTTATCTTGCTTCCTGCTGATATTCTCCCCAACTTTTTTGGTGCCCCTCTCAACCATATCTGGTTTGGGACGTTAATTTCAAATTAAGAAGTTATCTTGATGTCTTTTGTTTAAGCAGATGTGGTAAAAACCAAGGTTATAAAATTCAATGGAATCGGTTCTATTGGTAATTTTGGCATGTTTGTATGAAGTTGTACTTTAAGTACTTACAGAAAAAGAAATAAGAAAGTAAAATAAAATCAGATATGTTATATAGTGCAAATGGTCCAGTGTTTATAATTGATAATTTTTCTTTAGATACGTTTACCTACCTGAATGTTGTTTGGTGAAGAGCTGGAGATTAGGTACAAGAAGTCTTCTACCACTTCCATGGCCGCCACGTTATCTCCTTTGTGAGTAAGAATTGAAACTTTTGGTTTCCTAGTTCTTTTCCATTCCTGAATAATCCATCCTAGTTAGGAGAGATCAAGGTTTTTTTAAGCTGAAGTTGTAATTCTCACCTTGAATGTTGTGCCTTCAACATGCTTATTTGCACTATAGAGCCAGTCTCTATATGCTACAACTGAATTGATGGGCTTACTTTGCTTCCTCCAACTCCTTGTAGGGGGTTTGATCTCTAGTTCACGGTTGTGTGTTGTGGAATACTCCTGAAACAAAGTATCATGTCATGCTTGCAGTTTATTTGGTTCTAAATGCATGTCAAACAACAAAACACTAACCTGTATGCTTGAATCTGTGCATCCAATGTATAACTTTCCTTGAGCCACTGTCATGCACTTCACATGCTTACCTTTGAGAATATCTCTGGTCGATCTTGATTCATTAACGAGCTGCATATGGTTAAAAAGACAAATGAGGTAGTCCTAACTTTTGTTAGCTGGTTATAGAGAGGATTTGGTAGTGTATAAGTGTGTGATTTTGTTTTCTTCAGTACAACATTTATATCACAAATCATGGAAAGTTTTGAATTATCACCTTTAGTCCCTGGCTGTCTGTAATAGCAAAAATTGTTTCACCATGTGCGCGCAAATGATGAATTTGTTCCTTCAATACTATAACTTCAACACATTCCACCTTTCTCTGGATCATTTTCCACACCTAGTTTATGTTTGTTATTACAAGATAATCAATTCATTTTTGTTACTAGAGGTCTTGGTAGAGAAATAGAAAGTGGTGACCATGCAAAGAACGTAATTTTACCCTTATGGTTTTATCAGTGGATCCGCTTAATAGGCAGTCAGATGGTTCATAAAGTGAAAAGCATGTCACAGACTTCTTGTGCTCCTTAATGTCCCATACTAGACTGGCTGAGTGCCCCCTAATATCCCAAACCTATGAGTCAATGAATGTAATAACATGATTTAGCGTGTAGTCTATAGATATAAAATATCCACAACATGAATCAGATCATGTGCTTTTTACCTTGATTGATCCATCTGAATACCCACTGAACAGCAATCCCTTGAAGTAGATGAGGGAGCAAACTGCTAAACTGAAGCTGCAACCTGCCTCCAGGATTTGTGTGTGAACGCAAGAAATACGCTGCTCTTACCACCATCATGATTCGGTGATATCACAAAATAGATCAGTAAGTGCTAGTAGCTATGCTAAATAAATAGGTAGCAAGATTGTAAGAAATTCAAGAATAAGCTCCTAAGAGCAATATCATAAATTATTTACTTTTTTGGTAGTCCTTTTTTAAACCTCGCTAGGATTATTTTACCCCACAGTTGCTATGATTCTTTTAGCTTGTTCCCCATGTTAGGATCGAGCGCTTACCACTAGGCCAAAAGCTATAGCCATTAGTCAGAGTGCAACTCTTTTTACTTTAACAGCCCAAGTGCCACGATTCGATTGTGACTCGGCCCACCTGGCCTCTGCCACAGGACAATTGATGCTACCTGCAACAATCTCCCCCTCAGCAATTGTCCTACGAGGAATCCAACTTGGATTGTGACTTGGCCCATCTAGCCTGCGCCACTGATTGTGACTTGGCCCACCTGGCCTGCGCCACGGGACAATTGTGCAACCTGCAACAATCTCCCCCTTAACAATTGCCCACCAGGAATCGAACTCGTGACCTTGGCTCTGATACCAATTGTTAGGATCGAGCGCTTGGCGCCCACATATGTATGCCTACGTCCACGACTACACTAGGAAGAATTTTAATTTCTGTGTATGTCTCAAACTTTACATAGGGTTGCTTATATAGCAAAATAGAGAACCTCATCTCACAATCCTAATCGATGTGGGACTAAATCAAGCACCATAATACTAACAATTCTCCCACTTGTGTCGTTTATTTTTCTCTCCTTTATTCTTTCCTTTATTATTGTCTTGTTCCTAACAATTGGTATCAGAGCCAAGGTCACGAGTTCGATTCCTAGTGGGGCAATTGTTGAGGGGGAGATTGTTGCGGATTGCACAATTGTCCCGTGGTGGAGGCCGGGTGGGCCAAGTCACAATCCAAGAGTGGGATACCTTGTAGGACAATTGCTGAGGGGGAGATTGTTGCAGGTAGCATCAATTGTCCTGTGACGAAGGTCAGGTGGGCCGAGTCACAATTGAATCGTGGCACTTGGGCTGTTAAAGTAAAAAGAGTTGCACTCTGACTAATGGCTATAGCTTTTGGCCTAGTGGTAAGCGCTCGATCCTAACACCCCATATCCAATGCCTGACCAATTTCTATCTTCTACCTGAATCCTACATCCTTAAACCATTTCTCTATTAGCTTCAAAAGTCCTTATATTTCCAGTTAAAATGGGGCTGATAGTGAAAATTCCCCCATCAAGTTGATCTTAGGCTGCTGGCATACATAGTTTTGGCATCAAAGTCCTAAAAATGTAATGATATTTATGGAATGAGTTAAACCTCCTGGTTACTAAATCAATGGTGGAGCATCAATCATGTTAATTTTGGGAAATTTACATAAGTTCTTTACTTAAAGAATATTCATGCAAGTGTTGAAACTTAGAACACGAATGAGTACTCACTGATATGTTTGGCAGCAAGAAATCGGCTACTCTATGTAATTCCTCAGCCATCCAAATTACATTTGAAAGACGCCTTAGTGATTCCTTTACTCCTTCTGAGAAATTAATTAGTTTTTGCTTTCCTACATTGAAAACAGTCTGACTTAATTGAGGAAATTGGTAATTCTTGTTCAAGAAGTACTCTATCATTCATACATTCATTCTAAGATTTTTTTGTTTAAAAGAGAATAAGTGGTTTTTTTTTTCTCCAGTCAATCCTTTGACGCAATTTTCATAGGACTAGTGTCAAGTGCAACATAAGAACGAGAAAGACAAACAAAGCAAAGATTTCATACTTACAGTCAACATGTACAAAATTTCTTTGTTTATAACTATTTTCTGTTTATTAATAGGGTATGACATAAATCTTGTTGAGGAAAATACCTTTTCCCGAGGCATAATTAAACATGCACATACATGCTAGAAGTCTTTCCTCCAACTCCATCCCAGGATGCAGAAACTGCTCAACCCCACTTAGTATAATCTCTGATGCGGAATAACTGATGCTGTCTGGACTTTTTGATATTTGATATCCAAGCCATGAAATTGCTACAAGGCAATCTCTCGAAACCCTCCTTATCTTGCTTCTAAGAACCCTATCTAAAGTATGGAAGACAGAATCCCCAAGGCTTATGATACATTTGGCAATTTTACTGCACCACAAATCTGTGCTAGTATCCTGCATGTAATAAAATTTATTAAATTGTTAATCTCCTTCAACATCTTACACAGCACGGCTCTTGCTGTCATGCATATACTTTGATTTGAACTTGCAGACACAAAGATTTTTTGGAAGCTTACCTGTAGACTCTGATCCGACCAGTTGAAGTTCCTTATCATATTCTGGTGATAGGGAGAGGTCAAGCCTGTCTTTCTCAACAACCATGCAGTTGTATATGGTTCTCCTGTCCAAGTATATGTACCAGCAAGATTTGATAGAATGGATGCAGATAATATCTGCTCTGAGCTTTCTTCAGATGTCATTGCCTTGAGAAGGATCTGCACTGCTTCTTCTCTAAACACACCTTTATCAGGAGAGTTCTGCATGATAATTTTGTTTTGTTAGTAATTAAAGGCTTCAGGTTTCACAAATTATCTTGGCGGAGTTATTTGGTCAAATTATATATATATATATATATATATATATATATATATATATATATATATATATATAAGTCTAAGATTTTCATGAAAAAAAAATTCTAAACATCAAATAATTTCAATTAGAACTGAAAGATATTTTTCAATGAATTTATATCAAATGTACCATTGAGTGACTTCAAAGTTTACAAACTTCTAATTTGTGATATCCACAGGATATCTCCTCCTATTGACAAATATTTTTTTGCTTATTATTTATTATGAACCTCGTGTAAATTAACGAAATGAAATGTTTGGCTTTATATTTTTGTTACATTGAAATAGTTTCATGATTGAATGGGGCCTTTGGCCCTCCTCCGCATTAAAAATTATTGAAATTCATGAACTGTAGAATTCTATTTTTCTGAATTTTAACAATTACCAGCATATCTAACTGAAGCAAAATATTTGCTGCTAAAAGCATGTGATCAGGTTGTAACTGATGCGCACAGTGCATTAGTATCTGCATAATATTGACGCTTCTTTCTTGCTTTATACGTTGCAGCAGACTGATAGCTGATGATCTGGCAAAAAAAAATGAGAAGAGTTAGAGAAAACTCTTGGAACAAGGATTACAATTATATGAACAAACCATTAGATTGTTTAATACTTGTATGTTGCAAGTACTACTACTCAATTATATTCAAACAAAATGCAATTTGAAGATATGGTTGCATAGTTGTATACCGTGGTATGCAAAGGATTTCATGAAAAAATTCAAGAGCCGTGCATTTGGCGCGGATGTTTTCTGACTGTAAAAGGTGGATAAAGGGAGCAAGTGGAGTGAATTGTGAGACATACTTTCTGCACTGGGCATCATACTGCATGCATTTTATAAGAATAATGGTTAAAGAGAAAAATTCTTCTAGATTATCATTCCTGGCAACTTCTAGAAATCCACTGAGAACGTGAGGAGAACTGATGGTGGCCAAATGCATGTTATTTGTGGCATAGTCAAATGAAGTTACTAGTTCTTCAATGATCATCAATGATGCTGCATGAGGTGTCAACAGAAGTGACTCTGGACTATTCTTGTAACTATTTGAAGTGCATACAATCTCCACTAATATTGGCAGGAGTTCCAACGTTTTTATATCTACAGGTGAAGGATTTATTAAATATATTAGAATTGCTGCCTCATGGACATTTTGTTTCAGAGCACTTGCCAGATCACACAACCTTAAACCTTTCTTCTTGACATCTTCTATGATTGACTTGTTCCTTGAAATTATTGTTGTCAGAATAGATACTGATGCCCTTATTTTTCTTTCCTCTTTGGAAGTAGAGATAGCTACTAGCAGCTCATCCAAAATCACATCCTTTAAGGAAGCATAAGTAGCGCCCGATGAACTAATCAAACTCTCATAAATTGATGCAATGTCTACAGTATATTCTTCATCACATTTTCCTAATACCTCTGAATAATGTAGTTCTGTAATTCTTCTTTCAGTCAGTTCTGACAAGTCTTGCAGGGAATATCTTCTGGAGTTTGAACAAAGTTCATGACACTTTCCTATGCTATACAATCTTTGCATCTCGGAACTTTCATGATTTTTCTGGGTGGGCTTAGGTTTGCAAGTAGATGTAAATGTTACATGATCGAACAATTTTTTTGGCTGCGATGCATCCTCATTTAGTTCATCCTCTCCATGACAATTTAAGGGAGTATTTCCTGTTTTATCTCTGTGTTTTGAGATAGATAAAGTAATATCTTCTATGGAGCTGTTGAATCTACTAGAATCAAGCTGAATTATGTTTCTTTTGTCCAACTGTTCTTGAATTGGATGTTGATGAGTTTGAGGCAAACCAGAGGACTGTTGTAGCTTCCTGCGAAGGTCAGTTACATGAAATTCCATGTGTCAACTATAAACCAAAGAGTAGTGTTACCTACTGTAGGATTAGATTTCAGATGAATTTTGAGAAAAACAAAGAAAATGCGGTTGATAACACTGTTAAGGGGCCGAACCAGTTGTAGATTTCTGGTGGTAGATCATCTGCTTTAGTTATTGTGGTTTGTATATAAAATTTTCTGTCATCCACATTTTCCTGAATATGAACAGATAAGAGTTAAAAAATTTATGCCTTGCTTATAAGATCAAAATTAGACAAACAGACATTTTTTAATGAGGTTAAGTGTGCCAACAAGAAATCTGTTGTTAAGTTACAACTTACCAGGTCCTTTCTGGCTGTAAAATCCTTATAGCATACGTCCACTGATACTGGTGTCGTAGAGTGTGCTTCTATCATCATATCTTTGAAACATTTGATACTTGAAATTGTTTGGTTCTCTTTGCCATGATACTCAACCGAATTCAGTTGTTTAAGTGCTTTCTTGTGACCCTCATATTCAGCGATATCCATGAATTGTTTTGACTCATCTTCCATTGTATGAATCACATCTTGAGAATCAAGTGGATGAACCTTTTTATACTGCACACTCACAACACAAGGGGAAATGAAAGAGGAACAAGAAAGAGAAGTTGTTGATGTATCTATGATCTAATCTTGTAAGTTTCCGCGTGTATACTACAAGATATGGAAGTGTTCAATTGAATGAATTTGATATCCTATTGCCAGTAATAGAAATAAATAAGAACAAAGCTTACCATATTGCAACTTTTCAACCTTGATTCATGTTGAACTGAAGTTGAAGAAACACAGCTAGTATTTGGTACATCCCTGTTCGTAATGGTAACTTGATTTGAGATGATACAGTAAAATTCCAAAAATCCAATGTCTTAACTTCAACAAACAGTATCTTATGTCAGTTTTCTATTTCTTTCCAATGATATTCCTACTTCTCTTTTTATCTGCATTCTGTCTATAATTATTAGGAAAAAAAATTATGGAATATGACCTAAATTATTTTATTGCATCCATGAAATATTTCAACCTATTTAACTATTAAAATTAACTGCAATTTTATTGTTTCTATTCAAACCTACCCATTTGTCTTCGGAATAGTATTATGCTTTGAGATGAAACTGTTGTATTAATTACCTATGGTGAGTGAAAGGGATGGAACAAAATGGAATGGAATAAAATCCCCATCCCATTGTTTGGATTTTTTTATCCATGGAATGAACAAAATAAAAAAGTGGTTCCATTCCATACCCACAAATTGGAGAGCAAGAAAAAAAGAGGTATTAGACGGTATCCCATCACCCTATTTTAAACAATCGAACCTATTATCATTCTATTCCAACCCTTTTCATCAATCCAAACATAGCCTCAAAGTCTAGCTGTCAAGTCCTGGAACTTCACGTGGTTTACATTTTACTGCATACTTTTTGCCTGTAGTTGAAACGTGTGTGAGAGAGAAACTCATTGTTTTGGAACTCGGGTTCTCAAGAGTGAGTTCACATGAGTCTTTACCAAGCTAAAAGTCCCCCTCAAATAGAAGCGTGAATTTTGGCTAAATGCCTAAATCTAATCACTTTTCCTAGTCACAACAAATAACACTGTATTTTAAGGTTTTAGATCCTAGTTTATTCCTCAAACTATTGAACTTCAGAACACCCCCAGGTTCCACTAATTGAGCATTAATTATTTGAATTTGCATTAATGTTGAACAGCGAGGATTAATCTTACACAGAACGTGGTGATTGTTTGCTGCAATAACTGCGCCACCATGGAGTCTCTCCATAAAGCATGACCTGGTAATACACCAGACACTCCTTGTACCTCCTTGCCACCTCCCTAATTGCTTCATCCATTTCATCCCCAGAAGACACAGATTCCAAACTTCTACTGCTACAGTTTCCCTGCATCATGGGGATGCTTGATTGTGGGAAAAGACTTTCACAAAGTTGTGATGCAAATTCCGTCCAAACAAGCCTTGGTGAGACCAACACTGCTTGAAGAAAATGCAGTGCAGCCTGCCACTCATCTCCCTGGAGCTTCCTAACCACTGAGAGGTAAAAGTAGGAGCAGCACACCAAGTAACGGTTTGGAATTGTGGCTGTGACCTCTTCCTCATCAAGCATCGCTGGCACCTGAAGCATTTGTTCTGAGTTCATTAGCCTGAAGGATCTATCTTCTGGCTGTTGAGCTTGGATGGCAGCCTCAATGCTGTCAATGCCCCAGTAAAGATTGGACAACACTGACTGCTCAGAGAATTCAAAAAATTCCTGCTTTTGAATCCTTAACTTGGAGGTGCATCTCAATTTTAGACCATTCCTGGTCTTCTCATCTTCCAAGGTGTCTTGAATGAACCTGTTGATAGAAACAAGTACCCATATGTGTTTGAGGTCTAACATCTCATATAGCGTGTTTGGAAACTCGCTCAGAAGTAAAGAATCACGTTTAGAACGCTGAAGCTATGATTGTTAACTTCATAAAATCACATCTGAAACATGAAACCAAACAGGCTAATAATAGTTCTGGGGTGGTATCAATGAGGGAGATGAAAAGAAGAGGAACTGAGAGCCTTGTGATGATTGGAAATGCTGATATTGCTGAGTACTTTTGGTGCTGAATATGAGAGAGGAGTTAATGCAAGTTGTGTATGTGATTAGATTAGAGGTAGAGGTTTAGTATCTGGTAGCAGTTTCCTCCCGTGACTGTTTTTAACAAGATTCCAAATTTCATTGGCCCCTTTAATCTTCTATTGCTTTCAGACAAAAAAGAGACCGTTGTCTTTCCTTGAGAGGGAAAAGGTCCAAAAACATTAACATTATAGTGCTCCACTTCACGTGTACCTTATCACTATGGCTTTTCTTTCTCACTACGTTTTTTATTACCGACTTTCCATCATGCTAAATTATCAATACTCTTGTTTATAAATGTATGTATACTTAGCTTGTGTTCAATCATTTCTCTGCTGTGCTTGTGCAGTAGACAGACATCACAGGAAAGAGGTGAAATCTAGTACACGCTAAGAATATTGTAGGGAAAATTAGGTTGTCGTCTTAGGTTTAATTATTTGCTCCCACTAGTGCTTCATTTGATGATCACACATGCACAAACTTTCTGCTAAAGGCCTTCAAAATTGAAATATTCTATTCATGTTTACATGCACAATTTCTTCTTAACATGCATTTTGAAATTGCTTTCTGAACATCCATGGCCTACGAGGAAAAATCAATCTTATATATTCCTTGTTTCTTCAAAACGAGACTTTGAAAACACTTCTCTTACATAACTTTTTTTATCTCCGTTTTTCGCAAACTGATAAATCGTTTGAGATGGCACTATTGTAAGATTGTGCTTGGATTTCTGTACCTTTACCTGTGGTCCCGTGAACATCGAAATATTAGGAAAAAATGTAACTTGCCAACGATAGAGTCATTAACTGTAAAAATAAATAAATAAAAAAATCTTATAAAAGTACTTAAACAATAGTTTTCTAAGTCTACCCTTTTAACACATTATTGGTCATTGGAGTTAAAGTGTTAGTTAAATTTTAACATGGTGTGAATAATGAAAAAAAAAAAAAAAAAAAAGCTAAATAACATGTATAAACAAGAAAGATTCATGAAAAAAAAATTAAGACTGAAAAAATCATTTTTCATTTAAGATTTTTGTATTAGTTATACTTTCTTATTTTCAAAAATGGATGTTATTTTTTCATTAGATTTATAAAATGATGTATTATAATTTTAAAATTTAACGTTTAAGGTTTATTTAATTTTTTCATTTTTATGTTATTGTTTATTATCAATTTTGTTCAAACTTTATTTTAATTATGATTTTTTATAATATTACTCTAGTATCTAATAAATAACATAAGAGTCTATTATCTATAATTTGTTTCAGTAACTTAAATACAATTACGATAAGGAGTAGGTGAAATATTTTTTAGGATTTTAAATATGAATTAAAGTTATATACAAATGGAAAAATTAAACAATATATTAAAAAAAACTTGTAAATATATAATTTTAAGATAAAAATAATATTTTTATCTATGATTAAATTCCTCTCTTATTTATAAAATTGATTTGAAAAAAACAAAAGTAATTTCAAGTACGATATTTTTATCTTAAAAAGTAAATAAGTAATAACCATGAAAATAGAAAGTGTTAAATTGATACAAAAGATATTTAAAGCTGTTGTGCTGAACCCTATAAAAATATTCAATCAAAGTTTCCTTAACGGATTTTCGAACATACTTGTGAATAATCCAAGCAAACCTAAGACAATTTGTTGTGAAAGGTTCCTTAAACAGAGGTTGTCCACAAGTGAAGATGATGTTACCCTTAAAACAAAATTACAAGGAAACATTGGTTTAGATTGAAAGGGAGAAGAAGGTCGATTTAAAAGAAAGTTTCAGAATTGAGTGAGTAGATTAGTAGTTAGTTGTTAGGTCAATTTAGAAGTTGGAAGTATTGTGGTGAAATCCCTTTCAATGGTGGAATTGCCATAAACTTGATTCTTTCACAACTGTGTCCTCGTGCCTCCACAGAGACTATGTTGACCTGTCAGGACAACCTTCATCATGACCTGGAATTTTCTGGACCATTTCCTCTGTTTTCAAAGCTTCCACTGCCATTCCTCCTGCAACATTCTGCTTATTCACGGGACATCCAACACAATAATACCATTAAGTTATGGATAATGTTTAAGAATTTAACCCCAATACACTTACTTTGTTTTTTTCACATTATTAGTTAATAATTTTGTATCATATGATTTTCTTTGAAGCTACGTGTTCGTCCCCCTTAGAATTTGGTAATTCTAATATATTATTTTGGCTCGTAATCATAATGAATATTTAATATATTTATTTATATGTTTATAATTTTATTATCTTAATTTTTTTTGGTTTGTAACTTTTATATAAGTTATGATTTTATTTTCTTCAAATTTAATGATTATTTAATATATTTAAGTATATATTTAAAAATTTATCTTTTCACCTTTCATCTTTTTCTTCCTTTTATAATTATTTATTATTTATTAATAATATATTATTTGACCCTCTAAAATTAATGGTCAAGATCCGCCACTAAATCATATAATTATTGACTTTTATGATGATTATTTTACAGGAATAAAATTATTTAAAAATAAAAATAAATATTTTATTATAGTTTCAATTTGTTTAAAATAAAAAAATTTATTTAAAATAGAAAGAAAATTGCTTATATAATTCTGATCAAGTTTTAAATAGTTTAACCTATAATAAAATTTATTTAATTTTATTCTTATATGTTAATATATAAGTTTTTTAGAAAAATTATTGGTGTTGACTTGATGATGATTATTTAATAAATGTACGTAGGGATTATCTTATATATTAATATATAAGTTTTTTAGAAAATTTATTGTCAATTTTTATAACACTTAAATTTATTTATTTTTCCCTATAATATCCTTAATTATCAACATGCTTTTTTACTAAAAAATATTAATCCATATTTGAAATAAGTGACAGTTTTTTCTCCTTCTCTAATTTTATAATATAAGTACTCACTCATAGAAAAGTCTCACACAACTATTTTTAATAAATTTATTAATTAATATTTTATAATTTAATTTTTTATCTAAAATTCTGTTAATAATTTTTTTAATAAATATAATTGATAAATAGATAATTACCGTAATCTTAAACTTTAAAAATAAACCATAAACAATATATGAAAAAATACCATATAAATTACAGACTGTATTTAAACAAAGAAATAAATCAAGAAAATAGAATAGACAAATATAAATGAGTAAAATATATGGGAAATATAATAAAATTAAGAATATTTAATTTAAAAATTATTTAAAATATACATTCTGCATGTTTTCGAGTGGTATCTAACCATCGCCAAAAGGGTTATGTGAAATGTAAAATCACAATATTTTTCATATAAATTATCCTTAAATTATATATTTAAACTTTTTATTATTATATTGATTTGATTTTCTTCCTGTTAATTAAACAGTAGAATAAAAGTAAATAAAGTATAAGTGTCAAAATATCATATTTTTTTGTATTTATATCTTATTTAAGTTATTTGGAACAAACACAGCGTAAGATTTTAGTTGAAAGAATGCATGCATGAGTATTTTGTATTGCATTGTGGTGTTTATTTGCAATAACAGAGGATCTAATCTGCAATGAAAAGGACGTGACAGTTGGGAAGTGATGAAAGCAATTCATTTATTGGAATGACACTGTAAAGCAACTCTGTTCCACACCATTCGTAAACTTCATCTCAAATTTCTAAGTGCTTTCTTTTTATCATGTAAACTTCAAAAATATTCCTATTTAGAGCTTTCCAATGGAACTGTTCTCATCGAATAAGTTGAAAATGTAAAATTGATAATGTCACTAAAATTCAATAGGTATTTTCTTTTTTAGGTTGTTTATTGTTTAATTATTAATAATAATATTTTGTAAAAAAAGTTTACAATTTTATAATATTGATATGAACTGTATATTACAATATTGATTTTATTTATTTTGAAATTTATATTAAATTAAAACTAATTTTTATATATAAATGATAAAATTACTCTTACAAGTTATTATTGTTATAATGACAATGTTAAAAAAAATGGTAGTGGTAGTGGAAAATAGTAATAATGCTAATCATAACCATTAATAATAATAATAATAGTAATAATCATCGTCGTTATAATAATAAAAGTTAATGACTTAATAATTATAACAATAATAATAATTACAAATAATTACAAAGTGATAATGATAATCAATAATAAGATACTAAAGTTAAATAAGTCAAAAGTAAATATAAATACAATTTTCTAAATAATCAAATCTAAGTGTTAAATTTAAATAATTTTCATCTATGAAGCAAATTTAAACACTAGATGTATCTTGATAAATCAAATTTAAAACTTGAAGTATTAAGATTAGTGATGGGTTGTTTTCATGAATAATGATTAAATGAGTTATATATGCTATGCATTCACAAGCTTCCTTTCTATTCCCAATACCCATATGATTTAATTATTGGTTCAATTATTGGATAAATCCAAAGCTCTTTTGGGGTACCACTCTAATAATCCAATCCAAATAGACCCTTAATCAAAATTTTTAAGAAAATACAACTTCATGTTAATTTCATCTTCTATAATCTAAAGTTTTCAATTCATGTGACCTCACTTAATGATATTAAAACATAATTTTTAAATGTAAATTTGTTAGTTTAATATTCTCCGAAGTATTATAACTCAATTTCAACTAAAAATAATTTTAACTTTATTTAAGTTACAACTATTTTAACTGGGTCTAAATCAAAATTTATTTAACCAGGTGTAAAATAGAGTAATTTCAACTCAAATTTCATCGAATCAATTTTAGGATAAACCTAATTAGAGTTTTTTTTTTTTTTTCAACTTGGTTTGAGTTAAAGTAATATTTTCTCCACCAACAAAGTAATTTTAGGACATAATTGTAGAGTGTCTTTAATTGATTTTGATGGAAATATCATTTAATAGGTACATCAATATGTACATCAATCAAAACATATCTTGGATTGTTGAAAATCAAATTTAAATATATGGCACATCATCTAACTCACCTCCACTTATACATCTTAATCATAAAACTTCTTAATAAATAATATATATATATATATATATATATATATATATATTAAATATTAAATAAATAGATGGAGTGCACGTATAATTTTTTCCATAATGTCGTTACTCTATGTTTTTTTTTGTCTTGCTCTTATTTTATTTTGTCTCCTTTTGAAAGATTTATCATTTTTACTTTTCTACTTATTTATGTTTAAAAAATAATATAAGAGAACTGATAAAAAGTAGCAACTCGAAATAATTGAACATGATTACGAGAGTAGCCAAGTTATGCTTATGTAATAAAAAAATCCACATTTAAAGACATTTTGATATTTAAATTAATATATATATATATATATATATATATATATCTTACTAATAATTTTTCTTTTAAAAATAAAATTATTTAATTTATAATTTTTTTATCAATACTATTTTGATTAATAAATAATATTTATTTAATTTTAATTATTGTTTTATAATATCGAATAATTAAAAATATTTTTATGTTATTATAATATATATTTAACATAATTATTTTAAAAAAAATATTTTTATTAAGATAATAATATAAAAATGTCGTAGATTTAATTTAGAGTTAAAATAATATTAATTACAATTTTAAAACTTTATTAAATACTCTAAATAATGATATTAGATTAGAAAGTTAAAAACAGTTAAAATATAACTAAATATGATAATTATGGGAGAAAAAAAAAGTATTTTTAATAATAAAAAGTGATAAGAAGTAAGCATGTTTAATTTTTATTCATGAGTAGAAAGTGTAAAAAATATAAAACATATGTTATTTTATTTTGCATAATTATTCCTACTTAAATATAATATCATTTTATTAATTTAAATTAAAATATTTAAAAAATATAAAATTATAATGATATATAAAAATATATTTAAAAAACATTTTATTAATAAAAAAATAAAATAAGAATTATATGAATAATTATATAATTAAAGAAATATTTAATTTAATTTAATTTAATTATTTATTTATTATCTTTTATAATGAATTTTGTTTCTTTTTTATTTTATTTCATTTTTATCTTTTTCCTTTTTCTCGCACTTTTTTTATTTATCATTAAACCAAAGAATTTTATTGTCGAATGAAATATGAAACTATGTAAGAAGATGGTAAGTAAAAAAGATTGTTTAAACATTTTATAAAAGTGAGTGATTTTACATTAAATTTGATTGTTTTGTGAATTTCATTGACATCGTAAAGTATAGTTAAATTTATAATAAAAAAATACTGTAATATGTGATTCACATAGAGTCATAATTGTTGGAAAAATTTGGGTCACGTATATATATGATACATATTTAAATGTGTTAGGGTCATTATTTATTAAGCCAAATAATAAAGTGATCTGAATAAATTAAAGTTTTGGCTAAAGGCATATGTCATGAAAATAAAATTGTGTAGAGACCATAGAGTAATTTCTAATTTGATGAGGGGCCAAATTGGAAATACTAAAATTTAAGTAATTAACCTAATTTTGGTTATTTAAGGGGTCATGGTCCCCTTCTGGGAGCACACACACAGAACGTAGTTACAGTCCCGTTCCTTTCTCTCTATCCCCATCAAGAGAGAAAATCAAGAGGGAAAATACAGGTGCTCTTCAGGTGGAAGACCATAAGATCAAATCAAAGGTGCTCTACAAAGGATATCGTCATTATGGTCAAATCAGGTACGCTTTCGCATTTTAGTTTATAACATGTCTACAGTATGGGATTATACATGTGTTTGATCGTTAGAACGAAGATCATATTCAATTAGAGTTTAACCTAACAATTGGTATCAGAGCCAAGGTCACGAGTTCGATTCCTGGTGGGCAATTGTTGAGGGGGAGATTGTTGCAGGTTGCACAATTGTCCCGTGGCAGAGGCCGGGTGGGCCAAGTCACAATCCAAGAGTGGGATACCTTGTAGGACAATTGCTGAGGGGGAGATTGTTGCAGGTAGCATCAATTGTCCTGTGACGAAGGTCAGGTGGGCCGAGTCACAATTGAATCGTGGCGCTTGGGCTGTTAAAGTAAAAAGAGTTGCGCTCTGACTAATGGCTATAGCTTTTGGCCTAGTGGTAAGCACTCGATCCTAACAATTGGTATCAGAGCAACCCATACTTGATTCATGTTTGTATTTGGAAATTAGATTTATCAAAATTCAGATTCTGGCTAATTAACAACCCTAATTGGAGAATAATCTCCTATCTTTGTAAACCCTAAATTTAAATTTGGGGTAAAATCCCCAATTTTAAAACCTAGTTTCGAATTTGGGGTAAATTCCCAAATCCGGTGAGAATTATAGGAGCGTGCAGGTTGAAATTTTGTTGCGCGTGGTGATGTGGCCGGCGCCGACCGAGCCAGGGCCATCGCCAATAACCTCGATCGGGGAACCGTCACCGGCTTCGCTAAACTCCTCTGGATGTGGTAGGTGGAGAGAGTGTAATGAAACTCTAACTAACTCGTAACCACGATTAGGTTACAATTATGGAGCTCGCTCCTTCGCTATTTGTGGATGATTATGATTATGATTTTTGTATGACCTACAATTACGAGAGTTCGTCTCGTAGGAGAGAGATTGCTTATGATGCGCCACGTTTTGTTCATATTTATATGAACACTCATTGCTTGTTAAATCAGTGTTAAGTTTTCTGGTATTCAACGTGGAGAAAGGACGTACAGAAGGCTCCACTGTGCGATTTTCACCAGGAGGTGGAAAGGCCCTTGAAGATGGAGATTCTGAGGAGAGAGAAAATAAATCGTGGGACCCGCTACCTTAATTAAAAAGGGAAACATGATGGTGTAAATGTTGTGGGACCCGCTACCTTAATTAAAAAAAGCCATCTTATGTGTCATTATAGCACATTTTTTTTAAGAGGTCTTTGAGACTTAATCTGGTTTAGGATTACCCTTATTAATATATTCAATTTGTTTGGTAGTTTAATAATTTTTGTGAGCAAATTGAGTCAAGAAGTTACCAAAGTAACATCTCTTGAATTGAGTAGTTCGTGAAAAATATTAAATGTTAGTGTTTGTGTATATTCATGCGAGTATTAGTCGGCCCAAAGGAAGATTAATATTTGGCCGAATTGCATATACACTTGTAATGATAAACATGTGATAATTATAAAGATTAGCTTTGTCGATGATAAATCAATCCAAAGACTGGTTTATTGTTGGACGTGCTTTATTGTCAATGTTTGATTATTACAACAAGATACCTCTAGC